CGATCGCCTATATGTGAAACACCCGGTAACGGGTGTGTGCATTGAGCGGGTCTTTTCTGCCCGTGCGTGCCCGCTAGGGGGCGCGCGCGAGCAGAAAAAAATTGCCGTCTGGAGACGGCAACCCGCAGATGCTGCAGTGCAGTCCGTCCGTTTTTTTACTACGGGCGGACGGCAAGAGGTTAACAGAGCGGAATATTTTGTCAAATTCCTGTCAGTTGAGAAGCCTATTAAGCATTCTTAATCCACAAGGGAGCGTAACATTTTCTTAGATTGAGAACAGACTGACAGGTCGAAGAGGGAGCAACTGCTTTACTCGACATCTTGTAGTATGGTCACCTTGGAAAATGATATGTAGAACCCCCAGGAGATATCAAGTTTTCATAGCTGATCCAGTCTTATCATTTTCAACAAGACCAAAGAAAAATGATAGGCATGGAATTGTATATCCTCGGTCCCGATTTGGTCATACAATTGCAAAAGCAAACAGGTTTGGTGCATTTAATGCAAGCTATCTCACTGCACGCTAGGTGCACTGGTCCGTTGCATTGCTATCAAGTTGAATGGCACCCAAATGCACCTCCTGGTGTGCTAGCAGTACAAACCACAGTACCCCAATACTGAGCATTGTGGTGAACAAATAGTGCATGCATTACTTCTGTTAATTGCACCGCGCTTTGTGCTTCAACACACGCTGACCGGCAGGTGTTGTTAGGTGTCATTCAAATGAATGGCAACATACCAGTGAAGGATGTAGTGTGCAGTGTGATAGAATGTGATAGAATGTGCTAAGTGTGTGGATCCCATGCATTTAAAGTAACGTTATTGTTACGAGCCCTTAAAGTTTGCAAATAGTACCTGTTTTGGAAGCCTTTACATTTGGTAACGGGAATGTTCTATGCATACATTTCAAGTAAATGTTTAATACACTAACACTGCTATTAGCACCTACAGCTGCTAATAATGGGCAGGGAAGAACTGATATGTGATCCTTGGCATCGCTCCAAAACATGGCCAATGCATGGAAGATATTGCTTGGCATGTACTAGTGTTGCTCAATTCTGTTCAAGGGCCAACAAAAGTGCATGCACTTCAGTTCTCTTCCAAGGCCAGGTACTTAGGCTGGTCATAGACAGGCAGATATCTCCATGAAGAGGACAGGTGTGCAGAAATCTGCCTGTCCTCAAACAACTTGAAGAAGCCATAACAACCATAAAGTCTATTTAAACCCAAAATGAAACATATTGCACCGTATCAGTCCCTAAAAGTAGTGGCAGCATTTGTTTTTTCAAACAGTCTACTACTAAGTGCAATTGCCTGCCTATACCAAATGCCTAGGCACAAGTTCACATGACTAGCTGCCATGATATTGAAGCGCAGTGGTTTTTGCAACAAAAGCAATAGTACTTTTGCCACCTCTTGAGGCAATAGGTCTGTGGGGTGTTAGAGTGATACTAAAAACTCTTAAAAATACATTCAAGTACCCTATTAACAATACTGTAGCTTATTTGTGTATCACTCGGCTGTAGATCCTCAAATCATCTCTGAATTGGTGCGGACACTATCCTTCCTTCTGGAGGGGGGATACTTTTGTTCCCCATGGTCCCTGTATGTGTTGTAAAGTAGTCACCGCTCCAAGCTCACTCCCATGATGGACTACAATCTCAATATGAATTAGTAAACTAAACATGAGATTGTAGTCCATCCCGGGAGCGAGCTTGGAGCGGTGACTACTTTAGAACACACACAGGGACCATGGGGAACAGAAGTAGCCCCCCTCCAGAAGGAAGGACGGTGTCAGCACCAATTCAGAGACGATTTGAGGATCTACAGCCGAGTGATACACAAATAAGATACTTTTCTGTTAATAGTTAAAATACTTGAATGTAGTTTTTTTACGATTTACCTCACGGGTTCAGTGTCACTTTAAATAAAATTAATAACGGATTTAAGTTACTGCAAATATGGCAGCAAATGTAAAAAGGTTAACTTGGGATTTTAAACTTTTCAAGTGTGGAAACTGTGCAATGCAAAAGATATTTAAATGAACTTTATTCTGAGGAAAATTAATGCTTATAAAAAATGCATTGTAAAAGACAGGTGGCCTTACAGATTGTCAATCAGCATCCATTCATATGCAGTTGCAAATGAGAACACAAAAGAGGCTTCTCAGTATGTGAACTGGGAACAAGCATCATTTAGCATTTAAACAAACGGCTGGGATTTACATACGCTTAGCACAAAGGCAATCACAGTACAGGTAGAAAAAAAATTATTTCCAAACTTACATTACCATCAATTTACAGACAATCAACTGCAACAAATTCATCAGAGAATGCAAAGAACAACACTTATAAATGTACAAAAACAGTCAGTTTTACTTAAGGAGTTTAGAGTAACAAAGAACAAAAAAGAAAAGTTTGTTTGGTTCCAAGCGGTGATGATAATTATACACAACCCAATAACTTCTGGCAAAACAATCAAATACGCATCTCTTATGTTAATTGGGCAATGTAGGGGATGACAACAGGATTCCAATAAACAATACTGTAGGAGGATCGAATGGCTGCCAGTTGCTCCCTTTCTTTGTACAAGCAGCTCACAGATGGATTGCAGCAGGAATAGGTGGATATCTATAGGTTCCCAGAGCCATTCACTCTTAGGCAAAGCATAGTCCACCTTTTGCAAAAATGTAATAAATGCACCCATATTATAGCAGAACTTTACCCCCTTTCACTAAAAATATTAGCATACAGCTCTGCATGCTGATATGAAATAATTTTACATTCATTAAACATTTTTATTTCACTTAAAATTTCTTTTTTTTTATACTTCCTGGCCCCCTTGGGCATTAGTGATGTAATGTGCCCAAGCATTGCATCCTGGGAAGGTTACATCAGTAGGGCATTGCTGGGAAATCTCATGAGATCTGAAGGAAAGGCATTTTCTTCCCCTCAGCCGATGTGCATGGTCACATGTCCCAGAGATCCAGGAAGTAAAGGGAGATCTAGCAATCTGCCCTTAGTAAAAATTGCCACTGTCAGAAGACAATTACCTAGAAGTATCTGTTTGTAGATTGCCATTACTATACATTTCTAAAGGTGCCTTTGTTATTTTGAAGATTTGGGGAATCTTTTTTGTATTGATGTCTGCAGAGCTTTGAAACCATGAGCAGTGCGTCACTGGTGCAATGCACAGGCTCCTGCATTGTTTACTTCCCAGGTATATGCAGAGGTACAGACCTTCTATTATGGGGCTGAAGGAAGTAATCAATGGACTACCAATGCAATTACATCACGGCGCTTGTGTTCCATTGAGTCCCTCTGCTGCCATCACAGAAAGGACTTAGTCTTAACATTCACAAATCCCTGTGAATGGGTGATGACATTGTGCCTGTGGAGCTACACCCAAATTAAATGTAAAACTAAACATACACATGCAGGGAGAAGCACCACACGATTATTAAGTACAGGGATTGGGGGTGGGGGAATGTGACCGTGTTTCATGTCACACACTAAATAACATGAAACATGGTCACAAATGTGGACTTATCCTTTAAAGTTCATCTATTGTAGAAATTAAAAAAGACCACCTACCCATGTTCCTCCACTGCCTAAACCAATGTTAAAGGAGAACTATGAGGTGAGTGCTTTTCACTCACCTCATAGTTCTAGCCGACCTGTGACAATGAGACTGTCGCAGATCAGCTCAGTAGATGGGGAGGGGAGCGAAAACATACCGGCGTCCGCTCACCTCTCGATGGATTCCCCTGTCTGTTTAAACAGCCCCGATGCTGGCGACGTACACTGTATGTCGTCAGTCACGAAGGGGTTAATGAAAACAGAAAGGTAAAAGATAAGCAGATTAAACGTCACAGTTATGCTGTTAGGCAAAGGTACGCTAGTTTGTGTCCTCCCGTTACCCTAAGGAGAACTATGGGGAAAAGCCATAACCCCATAGTTCTCCTTTAAGCACCGCTCCCCCAGAACTGTCACAGGCTACTGCCATCAATACCCAGTACTCCCAGAAACAGTACAGTTTCTACAGTCTATGGCAACGTTTCTCAACCGCTTTTTAGTTGAGAAAGGTTGGTCAATGGTACCACACCTATATCCTTAAGTCCTCTATTCCCCGTGAGGCAGTGCTCTGGTCTGGTGACTTGTCATATTCTGACCTATTGTGGGGAGGCAGGGAGCATGCCACGTGGTCCCCATGCCTGTACCTACTAGGCACCTAATTTAAAGAGGAACTTTGCCCATATCTTCAAAATAACAAAAAGACACCTTTAGAAATGTTTAGTAATGACAATCTACAAACAGATACTTCTAGATAATTGACGGCTTTTTATTTTTTGCATACCCTTTCCTTCCTTCCCCAGTCTTCTGACAGTGGCCATTTTAACTAAGGGCAGGTTACTAGATCTACCTTTACTTCCTGAAACCCTGGCATATGTGACTAGGACATGTGACCATGCACATCATCTGAAGGAGATCTCATGAGATCACAGATGAGATTTCCCAGTGCTTTGCTGATGTAACCTTCCCAGGATGCAACGCTTGGACACATTACATCAATTGTGCCAAAGAGGACCAGGAAGTAGAAAAACTAATCGTAAGTAAAAGTAAAATAAAAATATGTTTAACTAATGAATGTAAGATAATTTCATATCAGCATGCAGAGCTGTATGCTGATGTGATTGTTAGTCAAAGGGGGGTAATGGTCCGTTTTAGGGATTGCTAAAAAGCAATAAGACATTTTCGGTTGTGATATGCTTTAAAATCCATATGATCATTATTTAAAAACGCAGAATTTTGTTGAAAGCAAATATAAAACAGTTAATATACTAATACAGTGAAAATTGTATTGACCATTATGCTGCTAAGGCCTCATTCACACTGTAATCGGCCGGCATGTACAGCTCCGTGCTGCGTGCAGGGCCGTATCGAGCATCTCCTGGGAAGGACAGGTGTTGCGTGTGATTAGTACGCAGCCCCCGTCCTTCTCTATGGGACTATGCGGCCGT